AAAAAAAAAAAAAAAAAAAAATTGACTTATATGTTATCGTAGCAAACCATAAGATAGACAGTCGCTGGAGTACCTTTAATGGCAAGCATCATGGCATGGTCGATATCTTCTACTGGCAAGTTTATGGTTTGCTAATTATCGTAGCAGTGTTGTGGCTTGATTATCAATTCATTAGATATATTTGTGAGCACAGTCGAAACTATAATCAAACAGCAACGCCTATGTGATGACCCCCTATTCCGTGCTAATGCTGCCCAAGAGATCAAATGAAAAGTCACAAATAAGCAGCGTGTCTAGACCTCCTCCGAAGACTCACCAGTGCGCTTTCCATCAAATACGGAGAATGTCGCAAAGGCAAGGATTAGAGATAAAATGCCTACCGAGGTATTAGTAGGGAGGATAGTAAGGATTTGACAAAGGTATACTCACAGAATACAAAATTCATGTAGTAGTAGCCCACCAACTCGGTCAAGGAGCCCGCCAGAATAGGCCCGATGACCAATCCAAGACTGAAAGCTACCTCTGTCATGGAGGAGATTCTAGAGTTACCGCCATGCTCCCCGAATATTTTCGGATTTTTAATCTGCATCTCATTCACCGCAACTAGAGGTAAAGGCTCGTTAGTGATATGAAGAAAAACCGTGACAGGGAGCTTTTCGTCCACGTACTAGTCATCTGGACAACGCCAGCTCCGCGGATCAAAGTGTAGACAATTCCGACCCCTGTGATTGCAGACACAAATATGGCCGGGCCATTATTATCGGCGCCGGCCCAGGGGAAATTACTGTCCCCAGGAACACCCATGAGCCATAGCAGCGGAGCCAGAAATGCCCAACCTATAGCCGTAGGGAATTTGAGCCCTACCCGGTCACGGAGCCAGCCAACCGGAGCACCAAGGAGCATGCTAGGTATCTGCATGGCAAGGAACATCATTCCAACGGGCAAACTGCCCCAGTTGAATATCCTGCTTAGATGAAGCGGAAGAGTTGCGTTAAATCCAGCTACGACTGAAGATGCGCATATGACGCTCGAAAGGCCTATCACTACTCGCATATCGCGCAGAGCCGTGACGTAAAAATTATGGGATGATACCGGTTCTTCAGCAGCAGCCTTAGGTGATCCATCGGTACCAGATGCTTCGTTGCTGTTTCCGCGTGATTGAAGCAAGGAAGTCTCTTCATTAGCTAGGGTATCGGTCTGATGATTCTGTGCCGAGTCATGGTGTCCCTCAGGCTGTTTTCTTACTTCAATCATGAGCAGACGGGCAACAATATCGAGGAAAATGACGATTAGAGGAACGGACCAAGTAGCCCAGTATCCCACAAGTTCCAACAGGGAGCCAGCAATCACCGGTCCGAATATGACGCCGGCCATGACAAAGGACATCGAGAGACCCATGGTCTTCCCTATGTTGTCCATTCCAACATTATCCACCATTGTAGCGAATCCAACAATCCATGTGGCAGAGCCGGCAATTCCCTGTAGGATTCTGCCTACAAAAAGTCCCCAGACTAAGAGCCCATGTTAGCAACATGCTCTCTCTCAGTGCTCTCTCTCAGGATGAACGTAATAATTAGGCTTACCGGAAGGGGAACAGGCAACGAGTGCCGTCCCAACGGCGCATGCTGCCAAAGCTATCAATAGCGGCACCCTCCTATTTGGCGTCTTATCTGCAAAATGGGCAATAATGGGTGCCGCGACCAAAGTCATGAAGCCATGGATAGCGAGGAGGGACGAGGTGAGACTCTGTGTTTGCGACGGGTCGACATGCAGACGGACCTCCAGCATGTAGCCCAGGATAGGGACGATAAAGCCATAAAGAAAGGTTTCTACAGAGGATAACAATGCACTACGTTAGAAACAAGTCAAGGTGAGCCGCGGGAAATAAGGGAATCACTAACTACTTACCAGCGAATAAGGCCAGAACTACAATGGAAAGCATAAAGGACTTGGAGGACCGCCATCGGTAGCCCCAGGGCTTCTGGCAGTCCATCGCCATCACGCCAACTCGGCCACGGACACAAGGGGATCCAGTTCTCGTCCGAGCAAATATGTGCAGGGTGTCGGATACAAGGCGTCTATCAAACGTTTTAAGGGAAAATTCTGAGATATAGCCAAAAACCAGCAGCAAAAAGCAACTAAGGATCTACAAGGGGCTCCGGATATGATGGCCAAGGGTAACTTCGTATGATCGTCTCTGATAACGAGGAGGAGAGGGAGATGGAGGGGTTATCCGTTCGACATCGAGCAGCGAATTCCCCCGAGGAGACACACCAAGGTCGAGTCGATATCGGCCAATGCCTCCGGGAAACCCCCCTGTTGGTGATCGATATAACCTCGGTAGCCGCAACAATCTTACATGCCTTGACGGGTCTGCGGCCTCTGCGTCTCCACGAATTAGGTTACACCATTCCCGGAACCGTGGATACGGGTGACGGCTCACCTTTCCTCCTTGGTCATATTGCATTTTATGAGCAGGGGATGGCTGCGACTCAGGGCTGCACGGATGCAAGGGATACAGGGTTTAAGGAGGGGCGGCGATTGCGACCGACACGGCGGGGTGCGATCGTCTGGAAAAGGTCAAAGCGACAGAGCACTATCTTGAAATACACTGATACTGAGCACACGAGCCAAATTGACCCTCCATGGCCGAAGAATCAACCAGCCGTTGTTTGGCTTGACTCGACTTGACTTCGACTTTCAAGAAAAGAAAAAAAAATTACAAAAATAAACAAGAGAATGATGAGTAAGCCAAATGATGACTAATCACCTTAAACGGGATGGCTCTACTTTTATCCGCAACCCTATTTTGACGTCATCAAATCTGCATCAACGACTTTAACAACATCGACAGTTAAAGATGAAAAAGACCATTTGGACAGCTATGGGTGCTTGAGTGTCTATATATATATAACACTAAGGTGGTTGGTGTTCTGAGTATATATCCAATGTATACCCTACGAAGTGGGAGATACCAATACCCCCAATACAAAGCTCATGCAAAATCAAATTCAGTATGACGCGCCGTCTGCTGTTAATAAGCCGACGTCAACGATAGAGCTATACGCCTCTCGCCGTTGCTTAAGCCACATCTTAATCTAATATACCATCAGAATTAACCAGTTGTAATAGTTTCCTGTTCAACTATCTCTCTATTCCCTATGACGCTCCACGGACCACACTGCTCGCTCCCATGGTTCAGATATCAATATTTATGGTACTCAAATGGGGATTTGAAAGTGACTACTAAACTCGGCAAGTTTGCTGACGTCTACGTGTTCTGACGTTGTGTGGTGTCGTTGTCGTCACAGCTGTGGTTTTTGTCTATTTAAGCGCTTCCCTCCGCGTGCCAACTCCTTTTTTCTTTTCTTTCTTCTTCGTCTTTTTCTCTATCTTTTTTCTATTGCGAGTGCGTTCTTTATACCACTAAGAGTTGCTGACTCCATCAGCTGCCATTAATTATTGCTTCTAGCGGGCAGGCGTTTTGGTGTCCATGAGTCGTCGCGCCTTCTTCACTTTATTCCAAACATTGCTTCCAGCTTCTTTATTCTTCTATTTATTCTTGAAGACTCCCACTTCTTTAGCATCATATCCATCTCCTATACTACCCTTGGTCAGAATATTCCTGTCATCAAAATGGCACAACCCTCAGCGAAAAGCCCAGCAGTGCTCACGGCTTCAGAAGATAGCCTGCCGCCGTGTATCCTACCCGAACTTGGCAAACTAAGGATGTCCAAGGGGTTCTATCGGCAGAAGGAATATACTCTTACGATGCTTCCTCTGGATATCATCCTTTTGATTGCTGACCACTTGCACTCTGTCGATCGCACCATGCTCTGGCTGACGTGCAAAACCTTCCATGACTCGATACCCATGAAAGGTTACCATCCCATCGCCTGTCCTTCTGCGCGCGTCAGGGCCATGCGCCTGTTATACGACTCTCCTCTCCTCCCCTACTTTGGGCACAACAGCAAGTTCCTATGTATGACGAGAAGCAGACGGAATGTCAGAAAGGCTGTAGAAAAGTTTCAGAAGTGCAGCCTCTGCAACTTCTTCTCAAAAATGGGGAAAAACATACAGTGCCCGTTTCACCCACCAATCGACAAGGGCCTGTATTCATTTCCCCATTTTCGATCACTAACTCATGAGGATCGGGTAATGCGCAAATTGACGAGTAGCAGCTCTCTAACCCTGCAATCATACATCAAGGGTTGTCTACCGAGAGTGTTGGACAAGCTAGGGTCTTGCAGCATCAGTTGTGAAAAGGCTGGGTTTCCAGTATCATGGGACAAGGAGTTAGAGAACATGGAGAAGCTCTATAACTCTCAGATCCGTGACCGCCAACAAATGCTCGGTATCGGACGGAGTTCTCACCATCATGAACCCACCAAATGGAGGAATGAGAACTGGCGCATCAACTTCGCAGACTCCAATATCTGGGTCTTCTTCCTTTGCAATCACTGCATGAACATTTTGCCAAATAATTCACCAATGCGTGGCGCCTGTATCTTCTGCGGCTGCTCCGATTGTGGCATGTCTAAGCCGAAGTTCCTTCGGGTTTGTGTGCCTGGAGAACGTCCACGCTTCATTATACTAGGTCAAATCGCTTTCTTCCCGCGGAAATAGACTGGGCTGGTGTAAGCATGTTCTGAAAATATTAGCAGGATCTTGGTGAAATGGACTGGCGTTTGGCGTCCTGGGTTGGGGTATATTTTTCCTTTACTCATGTACTCTCATGTTCTTACGTAGAGAATTTAAAATACCATTGATACATTCCTGCGCCATATTGGCAATTCTACTTCTCGTCAACTATGCTGTACCGATGGTCATGTTTACTTCCAACACTATTATATGAATTGTCTGTCATGTACAACAGGTGAATATATTTGCAAAGCAACGCTGTCATCAAAGGAATGTAAAAAATATAGCCATAACCACAATATATCTCATATTACCTTTCCATCACATCAAATCGATCAATCATCCCACAAGTACATCCTCTCCATCTAAATTCCTAGCTGATCTCACAGTCCATCTTTCCTAACTCTTGTCGTCGAAGTCAAACGTGAGTTGTTTCGCTATAGAAGCAATTTAAACCTTGCACTGGTTGTAGAGAGGGACCTCAGAGCACAAAGCTGGTGGTGGCAGGGTCCAGTCGTTGCAGAGGGTGTTGCAAGCAGTGTTCTGTGGCACGAAAACGAGGAACTCGTAGTTCTTGAATGGCAGACGGAACTGCTTGGTGATGTCGTTGTTGTTAGGGCTCGCCTTGTAGCCAGCACGGCAGGCGCAGTGGAAGGTAGATCCGGTATTGATGCAAGAGGTGGTGATGTCACAGAAGTTCTTGCCAGAGACTGGGTTGCAGGTACCGCAGACTGGAGGAGAGTTGCGGTTGGCAAGGCTCTGGGGGAGGGCGGCAGCCAAAAGGGAGGTGCTGGCCAACAGGATGGAGGCGGTGGTGAAAAGGTTGAACTGCATCTTGATAGGTTGGTTTTTTAAATTAATCGATTAAATAAATCAATTTGTTGCTTGATTGAACTTCTTGCTTCGATGTTTTTGTGCTTGAGTGCTGAATGATATTTCTCAGATGTGGGGAGCTCGATGCTGCCTTTTATATCTTTCCATGAGCACTCTCTTGCTCAGCCCCATGAGGGCTCTTAGGGAGGTAACCTGGGAGCTGTCTCACTTCAGCAGCCGGTATTTGCCCCATAGTCAATGCTACCTTGCGGGGCCCAAGGGAGGGTGGAAGGTATCCGGCTAGCTTGGTAGGTTTTACTTCCCTGAGTGGCTGCATGGCGAGGCAATATCCCAAAGGTGCCTAATCCTTCCTCCTCCAAGAAGTTATGTAGGTCGTATAAACTAGCGTTTTGTGCCTCTGCAAAAAGAGAAGCACACCTAAATATGAACCACGTTCACTCCTGATACGGGAGTGATCTCGCATGGCGAGAGCTGGCAAAGAATGCAGCTGCAGAGGAACTGCTCCTTCATAGGCCTGAGAGCCAACAGCGGTAAACAGCCAAATTATCCATCGATGTTTTGGCAAAGCTATTATTAGTAACACTAGACCAACAGCATTAGCCAAGCTCACGAAGAGTCTAGTCAAGCCGTTGCCTTAAAGAAGAATGGTTGATAGGGTTTCCGGCTTGGAATTAGAATCGAAAGCTCTCGTCCTTCATCAACCGTGGTATCCTGTAAAACCACCCCCAAAGCAGAGTTTGGTTTGGTGAAGATCAGGCCCATTCTGATATCACCATCGAACGAATCTAGAAATTGGATAGATATGATCAACAAAGACCAAACCGTGTTATTCATCTTATTCTGGCGTATCAAGGGCATCTTGACCATGGATGAATGAAGAGGCTTAAAATCACTTGTTTTAGCCTCCATCTAGGCCAACATTCTCGCTGGGGTTGTGATACGTGAGAAATCCAGTTTCATCCCTAAAGCACAGTCAATGCCAGGGAGAATCCTTGCGCCCACATGGGTATTGAATATCTTTATCTGAACGATCTAGAATCCCAAGCTTGTCAACTGCAAACGGTTCGCCATTGGTGCCAGCGAACGTTCAACAGCTTTGGATCTGGCTGCACTGCGCTGCGTAGGCGAGAGTCAGATATACCGACAACGCCGTATAACATGCAGCCCACTGTCTGGCTGGCTGTGTCACCATGGCCGGAGAGTTAGAATCATACGACTGTAGCTTCGGTTTCTTCTTCCAGGCCATCATAGTCAGATATCTGAATGGTCACCGACCCGAGTGCTGCAAACGCCTTTTCTCGTTTGACCCAAATGCTAATGGCGAACCTGCCAGCTCGCCCGCTCCTCATTCGCTGAGTTCCGTATGGCAGAAGCCATGGATGGCTGGGAAAACATATGGCGCTGAGACATCTCGCTTGCTCGGGCGTATTACCTGCCTGGCGAGGTGAAAAGAAAGTTGGGACGATGAAGTCATCGCAAGCGAAGAGTCGGGACTAGTTCGGCCTTAGCGTGCATCGA